AAATTATGTTGGAAATGAGATCTGATACCTCTCAGCTCATAGCAGCCCTTGTAATATTCAAATCTGGCCGTTAGCAGGTATATGATCATTTCAGTTTACATCTCGGTCACAGGTCAATTATAAGCACTTACTGAAGCCATCAGAAACACAGCTTACTGGGTATTGGGCACAACTTTCCTTATCCTGCACTGCAGGGCATCTTCCCAAATGGCATCAAAGTTTTTTGAGGCAGACTGGGTTTTCTTCTATCTGTTCAGAAATGCAGTCCTACATATTCCCAGTACTACAGGGCAAAACCTGAGCACTGAGGAGCCTGAGCACCTTCCCAATTTGCTCTGAAGTAACACATGGGTGAATAGATGTGAAGGTCAATTTTTCAAGTATTATTGTGCTATTAAAAATGTTGTCCCTGAGAATCCTCTCAGGTCCTCAAGGATTCTCAAAACTTTGCGGGGAAGGGAACATGTCTGATAAGCAGTACATTACAAACAGTGACTGCACTGCATTGCTGCCTGCAGCTGTCTGCTACCAGAACAGAAGCCACATGCCATGCTGGGAATGCCCAACATCTTCATGAGCAGCTGGGCTCTGGGCAGAGTTAAGAGAAGCACCACTTTGGATACTTTCGCAGGCTAAGCAGCTCATCCCAGTATTAAGACTGTAGCTTTCTCCTACTCCTAGCAATTCAAGGGAGTCTGGTTCCTTATGTGACAAGTCTTGTTTCGATGTGCTGAAAATTCAGGCTAAAGCCTCCTGCACATTTGCAGGCTTGGGGATAGTTGCACTGGAGAAGTAGTTCTGATAATAAAACTTTCATTGAGCAGTATGGATTTGACTGCTATAGCTGTATGATGTGAGTCCTAACAGCAGCATCAGAATGGAGAACCGGGGAAGTAATTTCATTTGTTTATATTTCATTATGTTTTGGGTGAAGTGCAAATTCACCATTCGCATAGTGAATGCTAGAACTGCTACTTTAATTATACAGGTTTAATTAAAGCAGCAAAAACCAATTGCAGGAAAAAAGAATCACTGTCATACTGCTTTTAGGCTGGTGCAACTTGAATTAGAATTATACTCCTTGCAGGCAAGATTTTTATTGCATTATCACTTCTCAAGAAGCCATGTTGGGAGTAAAGGTCTTAAAGACTTTTGAAGGTTTGCTTTCTAAGGAAAATCGTGTTCTTTTTTATACCAATTACAGTAGTTTCATTTGACTGAGCCAACCTTGCCAAGTCAGACTTCATTCCTAATGACAAAACAATGCTTCTCTTTCCATTAGGTGCACTCAATGGATTTTGATGACACCTGGCATCCAGCCACACACCCATCCGGGGCTGTGCTCCCTGCTGTGATTGCACTCTCAGAGGCCTTTCCTCAGAAGAAAAAAATCTCAGGTCTTGATCTGCTCTTAGCTTTCAATGTGGGAATTGAAGTGCAAGGTCGGCTGCTGCGCTTCTCCAGTGAAGCCAGGAATATTCCAAAAAGGTACATAGAAATGTTTCAAGTAGAAAGTTGAGTGGAAGTTTTTTTTTCTCAATGTTAATATACTTAATTACATGTCAGTTAAAATACAGATGGCACAGTTATTCATATTTTCTATGCTGTTAGTCTGGAAATTTAGGAAGGGGTCATCTTAAATGTAAATACACTTACTTGACTCCTTATGGTTTAGTTAATTTCTTTTTGAAAGCATTGACCAATTCACAAGAAGGTGATGATCTTCCTACTTATAAAAAAGAGCAGCAAAAGGGCAACATTTAAAATTAGAAATCTCAGGCGTTCAAGAATACATACAATCACGCCTCACTTTCAAGCAGCAGCTTGCTCTCAGCAGAAAGGAGTCACCAGTGTTGGGCTCAGAGCAGAGCCCAAAAAGATGGGGTAAAAGCCTTGAAGTGTGGGATGGCCTAGTTGTCTCCTTGCTATTTTCTGAGTGTTCTTTCTATCAATTTTGCAAAACTAGTTCAGAATAACAAAACTTACCTCCCCCGATATATGTAATTTAGAGATGACTATAAATTATTATAGATTTATAATAATACATAAATTTAAATTATTATTATAAATATTATATTAAATACAAATTTATATGTGAGTTTAAATTTATTTAGAATAATTTATACATGACTATAAACTGTGATGCTTTTGCTGTTATTCTGTTCAGTATGCTTTGAACCATGAACAGTTCTAACATTTCAATTGTTTTCTGGGAAGGACCTATTACAAGTGGTACTATTCCAGTTTAACTTATTCCTGGGGGAAAGTGACAACTTTCTGCACATGAATTAGGTCTGCACATGAATTCTGAATGTATGTTTCATTATGGTCCAATCTGTCTTCCACAGCCATGAATAGAAAGCTTGTGTACACAGTGAATTCGGGTTAATTTTTGAAATACAGTCATGAAGATATTTTTGTTTTCGCAGGTTTCACCCACCGACTGTGGTTGGTACAATGGGGAGTGCAGCAGCTTGTGCTAAACTGCTAGCTCTTGACCAGCTGGGATGTAAAAATACCTTGGCCATCGCTGCCTCCTATGCAGGTGCCCCACTGGCTAATGCAGCAACCCAAACAAAGCCCCTTCACGTTGGCAATGCTGCCAAGCATGGACTGGAAGCAGCTTGCTTAGCTTCACAGGGCCTTCAAGGAAACAAACAGATCTTGGACATGAAGTCAGGGATAGGTGCCTTTTATACAGATTATAACCCACAGACTCTGCCAACCTTGCAGTCCTATCCCTGGCTGTTGGACCAGCAAGATGTGGCCATCAAATGCTTTCCTGCTCATCTTGGAACACACTGGGTGGCTGATGCAGCATCTTCTGTTAGGCGGAAGCTTGTGGAGAGCAGTGGCAACTTGCTCCCTCTTGATAAAATTGAGAAAATAATTCTCAAAGTCCCCGAGGTCAAATATGTGAACAGACCCAGCCCAGCCTCAGAACACGAAGCACGACACTCCTTCCAGTTTGTTGCATGCTCTGCTTTGCTGGATGGCGGCGTGTCAGTCCAGTCCTTCACCAATGAGAATATTCACCGGCCAGCCCTGCAGGAGCTCCTCCACAAAACAGAGCTGGAGCACCCTCCTGATAACACACCCAGCTTTGAGAGTCTTTACTGCGAAGTGAGTGTCACACTTCGGGATGGCAACATGATCAGTGACCGCTGCGATACGTTCTACGGACACTGGAGGAAACCTCTGAAAAAGCAGGACTTGGAGAAAAAGTTTCAATCCAATGCCCTCAGCGTCCTGCCTGCAGAAGCCACAGAAGGCATTATAGAGACCGTGTACAACCTGGAAAAAGTAGAGGACTGTTCTGTGTTAGGTACCTTTCTATCAGGACAGTCAGCTAGAGAGCTTTCACAGAAGCTGTGCTTTTGAATGTTCCAGCTGACAGCTAGATGCTGTTCACAAAGCAAACACAAAATTCAGGGCAAACTCTTGTTTAGTGACTCAAGCCCTTTTAAATAAGACTCCTCTAACACAAGAACCATGTTCAGTCCAGTATCATAGCTTCTCACTAAGTAAATAATTTACTGTGTATGTGCAGAGCTCAGTCAGGCTGAACAGAAGATCCTCTGCTGGCACAGCTGACTTCAGCTATCTTTGTTCCTCTAGAGGCAGAGCACTCACTGCTTGTGCACGACACAAAAATTTCCCTGCTCTTCTGCCAAAAATCTGTGTTCTGCTTCTCCTAAATAACTCCATACAGGAAATCCAAATTCTGGAGGAGTATGGAAATGCTGTGTCTGTGAAAATCATCACTGTTAGAAGGACAGGGAATAATAAAGCCTTTATATATATAATTTATTTCTGTAGATTTATCTCTACAGCCTCCTTGAAGAGGCCACCTGTTACAGCTGAGCTTTGACATTTGTGCTAAAATAAGCACAGCACAGAGTAGTAGCACTTGATACTCTGCAACACGTCGGGCTCTGCTGTAATGACTGGCCTTGCACTGATGGGCTAAAGGCCAGTGCTCGTCCTGATGACACCAGCTGCCGAGCTACAGGGACAACTCAACACTCCTCGTCATAAAAGCGTTATTTCCCAGTTCCATCTTTTGGCTGCTCTGTGGTACAGATCTGTTCCTGTTTTATTCCCACTCCAGTTACAAGGCACTTGCTCAACATGACACGATTAGCACATGATGACAGTTTAGATTCCTTCAGGCATGGCAAAGCTTAGGCTACAGTACACTTGGCATGAGTGACAGAGACCCATGAGCTTCAGAACACTTCTTTTGCGAGGCAATTAAGTGTCCACAGCAAAAATCAGTACACCTTGATAACGAATTCTGGGAATTTTTTGTTCCTTCAGGAGTATAAAGCCTTGACAGATTGTGCCTCTAAGAGAAGCTGACAACCTTTGTTCACATTTGTAAGATCAAAGCATGTGTTCTAACATATATAAAATCTTCCTCAGGGTACTAAACTATGTATGCAAAAAAATCATGAAATAAAACTAATTAATTTTACTAATTAAATCTCAAATGGCTCCATTTATTAGAGCAAAACTTGTCTATTTTCCACATACAATGCTTTCATTTGTGCTGGATCTTGGTTTATAAAGTTGGTTTACCTAGGGGCTCTGCAAAAATTTCAGAAGTCCATTTCTTATACTTGCTTAGACTTACCAGGGAAGAAAAATACCCAAATAACCACATACTTTCCCCCTTCTGATTATAAAGTAGACTTGATTTACTCATCTATACTGCAAGTAAAGAGACTCATTTGCAGCTATTTCACCTGTAATTACAGCTGGGTAAAGGCAAATGTGAACTACTGACGATCATTAGTGATGTGATAAAACCCGCTGCACTATCTTTTCAAGACTGAACACATTTGGATTTATGAGAAAAAAAATCACCTTCAACACATAGCTTCTTCTACTTTAGAAGAGAAATAGATAAACTTAGAAATAACCACGATATATTAAAGAGTAAAAACAAAAAAAAAAAACAAACAAAAAATAAACAATCACACCAAACAAACCAAGAATTATGAAGTTCAGCAGTTACATTGTTTTATTAATACAATCAAAAGAAGCTAAATGCTTATGCTTAGCTACACTGATTTCCATGCAGAAGTCTGTATGCTTCCAGTCAGGCAAGTTTCAGGACTTCTTGTACCATTGTTCCAATTCCATCAAAGATTTCATGCAGAGGAGCCTTGCACATGAAAGCACAGGTAGTAACTATTTTATTGGCTTTATCCACATGAGATTCATTTACATTTTTGCAAATGTGCTTACATCCAAGCTCTGCTATAGCAGAGGCCGTTTCAGCATCAGGAAATCTGTAAATAAAAAGACTTTAATTAACATAAAGAGATGATACAACCATAAAGTTCTGCCAATGTAACTAGAACGAGAGAACTACAGTAATATCTAAGTGACTTTTTATGTGATGATGACATGGGAGTTAAAGGGGCTGCTACTGTCAGGTTCTCCCACCCCTTCTGGATGCACTAAGTGATCTGATACCTTTGAAAACAAGGTCTGAAATGCAGAGCCATGGTATGTCAGAAGGTACAATTCTGTTTTTAACCATCTTTCAGTAAGTTTATAAAATTATACCAAGTGCAACCATAACTGATCCTCAAAGGTTTGGGAGAAGCCAGGTGAACCTGCAGAGATATTACATCTTTTCCAACACCTCCATGCAAAGTTATCCTCTGGGATTATGCAGAGGAATTTTAATTTTTTGTTTTCTGAGGATAAGGGAGGAACAGATACAACCACTCACTGCTGCTGCTGGCAAACTTAGCGCAGAAGTTTTATCAGGAGTTGACAGTCCTTTAAGCAGCACTGACTTCTGCCAGGCCCTGCTCTCATCTGCCTCCCCTAAACTGGCCCCAAACCCCTATGACCGGAAAAACTTTTATTAAAAATCCATGAGCAGACAAAAGCCCACAGAAGCAATTTAAACAGCCACTCAAATTACCACAGGGTACCAAGTTTCTGAATGCCAGCTGGCCAAATGCCTGTTCTTCATTTGCACATTTGCAAGATAAATCACGGCCTTCAAAGGCATTGGGTAAGCAAATTCTGTATTTCGCCTAAGATGAGCTAAAATCTATCCCTCAATTGCCATGAATGAAACGAGAAAAAATAACTTGATATCCCTGGTCACCTGCATGTTTGCACAGCTATGATCCTGTAAAAGCCACTTGTTCTCTCACTTTTAAGACTGGCAGATGCTACACCCAGTGACTCATTAGCCATCACACTGCACAATAAATAAAGAGACTTCTGCACAGAAGACTGCCAATATCCTAATTCCCATGTAAATCATCTCCTTCCATTTCCTTCTTACCTTCCATCTACATTTTTATCTTGCCCGACCGTAACCTCACAACCAGGAAAGACTTTAGCTGCCAGAACTGGTGATATACAGCACAAACCAATGGGCTTTTTAGCACTGTGGAAAGCTTGGAGTGTGGAGTTCACGTGCTCGTTGACAGTACAGTCCTTGCCATCTACAGCCCAGGAACACAGGTTCTTTGCTACACCAAAACCACCTAAAAAAAACCCAGACAAAAACCTCAAATGTAAGGCACTGCTAAAAGCCATTAAATTCAATACCAGACAGAAGCTCTTTTTTACAACATAATACTTTACAACATAACCTAGGACTGTTAAGTTACTGTGCCAAAAGCCTAACGATGTAACTGTAACCTGCAAATGATGGGTTTACAATGTTAAAAGTTAATGGCACACTTTTTTATACCATGTAGGTTTTATATATGCCAGAAAGCTTAATCTTGCTTCAATAAGTGGCAAATAGACAAACAGGAAACGGTTCCATTCATCTGCTAGTCACTAGAACAGCTGCACCATCTGTTATGCACCCCTCAATAAGAGAGGGATCAGAAGAAAGACCAATACTAGTTAAAAGCAGAAGTGTGCAATTCAGAGGAGTAATGCAAACAGTGATTTGACCCTGTACAGTAATCAACACTCAAGTTTTAGTTTGATACTTAAGCAATTATAGAAGAGCATTTCTCCTTCCCTAGAATTATTTTTGGACTTAAAACCAAAGAGATTAACACTATAAAAATGAAGAAGATTTTACATAAAGAGGAAATTATAACATGATATTCTGAGACAAAAAACTTGTGAATGATGCCAACATTTCTTATTAAAAATAGTGCTGTTTTGTCTTCCTAGAAACTAGTTATAACAAACCTTTACTTGCACTTAATCTTCATTTAATTGTACAAACAGATTGTATTTTATATCCCCTTTGTTTGCTAGATTTATAACCATCAGAATAATCCAAGTAAGGTTATTAGAAAGTTTTTACACTTGATTCTTTATGGAATGTTCATGACATCAACTTTTCAACAAAAAACATACAGAGATTTTCACAAGTATTTTAATGGACAACATAAAGAAGTTTTGCATTTTTAATATTTTTCCTTTCCCGGTTTGCTCACTTTCAAGTGTGATCTGAAATCTCTGAGGTAAGATTTTAATTTTCAAGCTTAATAGAGTTTATTTCCCTCTAACAGTTATTACAGCAACCCCCAGAGCCTGGGTTATAAGAGCATGAAATTAACGTGGAAAACATCTGTGAGCCTCTCCTCCTGCCCTGATCAGCCCTGGTATCAGACACACAGTTTTAGTGCTGGCAGAATGTTTCTCTGCGTTATACACACGCTCCCTCTGCTGGCCTTACTTTAGCATTTAGGGCCAATCACAAAGGCAGTATTAAACAGTACTATGAATATTCTCAAAAGTGATCTTCAGCAACTCATAATTTCCTCATGACGCTCTGGTTTCTTCATTTCTAAAAGTGATTACAATTACCTCTGTCTGGAAGGCAATTTTTTGGTCTCTAAATAAAAAATTATCCATAGACATGCTTAGTATAACTTGATCAGCTGCAGAGAAGATACATGATTAAAACAGAATCTACTCACATCTGAGAGGGAATATAATTTATCTGGTGACCTGCTATTCTGTCAACCATTTCAGAAGCCCTAAAATTAAGGCAATGCCATGTAACACCAAGTTCTGACCCTATTTTTGTACTCTGGTCAGTGTTCCTGTTGGCGAGCAGATAACTGAAGTTTTCACAATCTTTAGAACGAAGGAATGGTGTGATGCTTAACTTAATATCAAAAGAACACTCTGGCTTACACTAACTTGTAAGTTAGTGAACTTAATGACTTAATAATTAATAAATATATTGAGTACCTACCAGGGAAAATGACCGCATCAAATTCAGCAGCTTTCAGTTCAGCCAAATCCTGAATGTTTCCTCTTGCCAACCTGGCACTTTCAACTAACACATTTCTCTTCTCTTCTGTTGGACTTCCTTTTAGGTGATTGACTACATCTCTTTGCTCAGTATTGGGGGCAAATATCTTCACCTAGTAAAGAGATAAAACAATTTTGTGAATGTAAACAGAACCCATACATATCGGTCACAATAAAGATCATTTAATGAAAACAGTTTCTGTCCCTGAAGTCTCTTATCCAAGTTAAGTGGATTCCACAGCATGGATCTATCACCTATTAAGTATCTGAAGTGACATATGATATATTAGGATGGGTAAACACAGCCATTCTCCTCATCCTATTCCTGCAGCATTTTGACAGGAGTGCATTCTTACACCAACATTAAGCTTACTGATTCTGCCATAGCCTGCCTCTCCTCTGCAGATAACCCCAAGGACAAACAGAACACTACAATTTATACCAGCAGCCTGACTGGACACACAGCTGACTCTGAAGAAAGGTTGCTCTTAACTGTTATGGGATAAGAGTGCTAAAAAAGTTTGACATAAAAAAGTTAAAGATGCAAAGTTTACAAGCATTTGTAGTGCAGACATTAGAGTTATCAGCTGCCCTAAAACACTGGTAGCAGAAAAGAAAAACAAAACATGGAAGAACCTATTTTGATTAGACACAAAAGGGGAATGCTGCATCACAATATAAAGCTCCGTGAAAGGTGTAGGGCAGGGGCTGTCTTCTCATGTCTGTTTTGAAGCTTCCTTTGCACACTGCTCAGAGATGACAAATTTGTGCTAAATATGAGTGTGCTGTTGTTAACATCAGACACCTGAGTGCAGCTACATGCAGACAAACAGTGACCACCTTCTGCCATCTGAAGCCACAGAGGGGACCAAAGCACACCATGTCGTGGCCCAGACTTCTCTGACAACTTTCAGTTTACCAAAAAGAGCCCAGAAACAGTGAGAAGAAAACAAGCAAGTGAATCCCAGCGAGCGCTGCAAAAGCAACTGGAATGAAGATCAAAGATTTTAACCCATCCTCATCTCCCTGCAGTCAGAGGAGCAGGGACAGACCTCCAGCCACTCCTCCCACCCAGGTTCAGAGAATCACAGAATTGTTAGGGTTGGAAAGGACCTCTGGACATCATCTGCCAAGGAAGGGTCACTTGAAGCAGGTTACATAGGAACACGTGGGTTTTCAATGTCTCCAGAAAGAGAGACTTCACGACCTCCCAGGGCACCCTATTCCATGCTCTGTCATCCTCAACATAAAGAAGTTCCTCCTCCTAAGGTGGAACTTCTTGTGTTTTAGTTTTTGACCACTGCTCCTTGTCCTGGAGCTGGGCACCACCAAAAAGAGTCTGGCACTGTTGCCACAAAATTGGATTTGTTACCTGGTGTGTAACAAGCCAATAATTACACACTCAAGAGAAGCACTGATTATTTGTTTCAGAGCTATGCAAGCCTGGGTGCTTGGTGGTATTCCACAAATCAAGCACACCCACTGGACTTTTCAGACTGTTATTTATGCATGGAAATTCAGAGTTAGTAACTTTCCAAGTACAGCCCCTCTATTATGATTGGTTAGTAATTGCCATACAAGTTACATAACCCCAGCTAACTTCTACATGTGCTATGGGGAAGGGTCTTCACCCGGGCAGGGGTCTTTTTGACCCATAGGCATTAATTTTTAGTATTATAATGAACATAGTTAAGCTATAGGATACACGGACCTTGAGTATTTTGCCAAGTAAGTAATCTATACACAGACATACATCAAGGTCTTGATTTAATACATCCTTAAGACTTGTTAGTTCCAGGATGCCCTTGAGTAAGGGATGCTAACTGCTATCCATCCTACTGATATACAATACCATCTTGATCCTTAAAGCTTGTTAGTTCCCGGATGTCCTTGACTAAGGGATTCCGGCTGCTGCCTGTTTCACTGATTAGGTCTCCTTTCTTGCTGACTAGGCATGAAAGTATACAAAGATCTTACATCAAGGAACATTCTGACTTAAGATAATCATGACATAGTCCACATTCTGCAACAACACCATCCTCTTGGTACCCAGCTTTCAGATATTTATAAGCATACATGAGATCCCCTCTCGGTCTTGGTCAGCCGCCTGCGTGTGACCGCAGCTCCTGTCAGGGGAACAGGCACGTCTTTGGGCGGGGGGACGAATAAAAAAGGCGAGGAGAGAACATAAGGAGGGAGGTTATGGCTGAGCAGGAGTGGTAGTGTGCAGTGGTGGCGTAAAGACCATCGCAAACCGGGAGGGGCTCCGATCCCACAAACAGCGGGAGCCACCGGGCGTGGGGGTACGGGCAAGGCGGGGGGCTCTCGGCTGCTGAGGGAAGCAAAGACACGAGTCAAACACACACCCGGGAGGAGCCCGGCACACCGGGCTGTGCACACATTCACACACACATGCTCACACACACATCCTCACAAATGCTTTGT